AGTATCGTAGATTTTATAGATACACAGTCTTTCATTTCCATTCCTGTATATTTTCTTCATAATGAAGTAATAAAATGTTTATCAAGACGATATCATAAAAACATTAATAGTTCAACTGATATTCAGACAAGTTTAGTATAAGGCTTATGATATCCTATATCTGAAATCTTATCGCTGTTTAATTTATATTAACATTCCTCTTAAAATATCACACTGAAAAATAAATTTAATTAAATTTACCATGTAAATATGCATGTATTGCTTTCTTAGGTTTCAGCATCAATTCCTAAACCAGTCATTTGTTTGGCAACTTTGAATCTGATTTAAACTGTTAATTACGAGGTAAGGTCAACTTATTTTCTATTTTTATTTTATTTTAATTAAACACGTGATTATTACAAGCCAATGGCTAATATCATGACAATCGTGTCAGTGATGAGTGTGTTATGCACATGACATGTTATATCGTTAACAAAGCTTACGTCTTAAAATGTCTTTATTTTGTTTGTTGTTGTATGTGATTCTTTTGATTTTGCATGTCATTTTCCGACTTGATAAACCTCAATAACTAATTATTAAAATATTTGTGGAAAATTTCAGTGTTTCAAACTGTGTTAATAAACCTATGAAGCACTGTCTGAATTTCGTTGTTGAAGTATTAGTTATAGTTTTTTTATTGAGTTTTTTTTTTACCTGAAATGTTTACAGAAATATTTGGAAAGAAATATTATTTCCACAGCAACTAAAAAAATGATTGAGTGAGTGCTTGTGGTGTTTTATATTAAGGATATAAAAATTTAAGATTTATTTGAAATATATGTACAAAATATATATCTACAAGATTTTAGTAGATGAGCAGAAACTTTTTCGAAGAGAAATCTATCCGATATATGAAATTATTTTCATTTTGTGGAAAGTGGAAAAACAACAATCTTTCAGGAATATCTAACATATATATATATATATATATATATATATATATATATATATATATATATATATGTATATATATATGTGTGTGTGTGTTAACACATACACATGTATATATATGTGTGTGTGTGTTTATATATATACACATATAGGTGGAAGAAAATATTCAGGAAAATACGTGTTAAATTATTTTTTTTTCTCTTTATACGTTATTTTATAGATAAAAATATTTAAGTAAATGTTCTATAAAAATAAAGTATAAACAGAAAATATATTAAAATAATTGTCGGACTTTGGCCATTTCATAATACACACACACACACACACACATATATATATAAATATATAGTGTGTATGTATATTTTATACGTACATGTGTATATATATACATTCGTTATATATACATATATATATTGTACGTTACATATGCATATATATACGTTATATATGCATACACATATATATATATTGATATATATATATATATATATATATATATATATATATATATACTGTGAAACTAATATTCGTACATATACAAATTTTAATTTATTGTATTTACAACTAATGAATAAACATACTTTTCATATAATTAACTGTACACAGATGCATAATAATTATGTATGCATAGAAAAAAAAACATTGATTTAATAGAAATAAATCCCACTTTTTCCATTTTAATAGGTGAAAAAAATATTCGTACTATACAAAAAGAAGACATACTTTTTTAATACTTTATATAATAGCCATTATTCACTCCTACAACAACCAACTTCTTTTGTAGTCAATTAATGATTTGCAAAGTTTAGTTGATATTTTGTTCCATTCTTCTTTGTAAATGGTCTTCAGATCCATGATGTTTGTTGGCGCTCTCGGTTGGATTACAGTTTTCAAATAATGCTACAGGTTCTTGATTGGGTTTAAATCTGCGGACTGACTTGGCCTTTTCAGGATATTTACATTATTTTCAGCCAGCCATTTCTTCGTAGATTTTGCTGTGTGCTTAGGATCATTATCTTGTTAAAAGATCCAATCAGGAGGAAGTTCAAGATTTTCAACTGAAATTATTAAATTTGCTTCAAAAATAGTTTGATATGCTGCAGCATTCATTTTATTATCTTTTACTGATATGTTGCCAGTACCTTTTGCAGAAAAACATTCTCAAGCCATGATGCTGACATCACCTAATTTCGCCACCTTTCCTCCTTACATAATTTCTAGAATTAAGTCCAAACAACTCAATTTTGGTTTCGTCTGTCCATAATACTCTTTCCCAATACGATCTTTCTTTATCCTTAAATTCAAGAACGAATTCTGAACCTGGGGTCTCAGTGTCTTTTCAATAGCAGTAGAGTTTTCCGAGGGGAGCGTGAATTTAGATTGTTCCTATGAATTTTATTGCTTATTGTAAATTTAGTGATACAAATTCCTGATGAAAGCAAATCATTCTACAACTCTTGACGAGTAACCTTCGGATTTTGGTTAATTTGACGCATTAATTTCCGTGAAGTTCTTGAAGAAATTCTTCGTGGAGCACGTGTTCTTCTTTGGTTTTCAACAGTTTTGATTTTTTTATATACCTTGCAATGATTTAACTAATGGGAGTAAATTGAATATTCAGGTTGTCTGAGTTTTTTTTGTAACTTTTACCTTCTTTCCAGAGCTTAACAATCAGTTCTTTATGAGAATTTGTCAATTCTTTACCTCTTTCCATGATGACAATCTTCTTGCACGAATATCAATTACAGAATGTTCAGTTTGTATTTTTAGGCTATGAATCACTACTGATAACATTATTGGAACATTCTAATATATTCCATTTGAATAATTTGTAGTAGTAAATCAATTAAAATTTTCAATATTTGAAATTTGCATGGTGCGAATAGTTTTTTCCCCCATTAAAATTGATAAAGGGGATTTATTTCTATTAGATCATTTTTCCTATTTCCTATGGATATTTAGTTATTATGTATATGTGTACTGATGCATAATGATGAAAAGTATTCTTATTCATTAATTAGAAATACAATAAATTAAATATATATATATATATATATATATATATATATATATATATATATATATATATATATATATATATATATATATATATACATTCAAGCCTTGCTTAACCGGAAGTTCTGTGGTATGAATCTACCTCTTCTCCCCTCAGCCATGGATTAATTAGTACCATTATTATTTTCAAAATAAAAAAATGTGTACAGCATATTTAGCTTTCGGCATTAAATAATTTGCAAATTGTTGATATACCGCTAAACACCCCCCCCCAAACTATCACTTTTGAAACCAGTCACTTTTCCGTGTTCATTTTATTATGACGTTGCTAAACACGTTGGATGTCATCCTACCCAAGTAGGTCTATTTTTTAATTTTTTTCTGACCTTAGTATACATTTTAAAGAATTTGAATTTATTTTCTCGAGCCACTTTAAATCAATCTTGCTTGTTTCTCAAAGTCACTAATACTTTCCTACGTAGATGGCAGCCATGTAAAATTACCTATAACGCTTGGTTCTTGTAATCGAAACATTTTTGTACTTATTGAACAACATCCTCAGCCGATTTTCTTGTATTTTCGTCCATTAATCTCCTCATGTAATGAATTCACCTTGGGATCAGTTCGCATGATAAATATGGTCGCTTCTGTACATCTGATTTTAACATTTTCCAATTTCGTACAATTTTGGCAGCATTAATTTTGCTCAACATCTGTCAAATTACCATTTGTTTTTTGTAGTCGTTGTTCTATTTGCATCAATTAATAATAGTTTCCTTAAAAATCAGGTGATATTTTTAAAAGATAAACGTCTATATACTAAAAGATTTCATTGGTGAACTGTCTTAATACAATGTTTTATTTATATGTACATTTAATTAAATCCTCCCCAATAAAAATTAACTTTGACAATTTAATTACGGTATAGAATGAAATTAATTTCTTAGGGTGATTCATTTTTTCATTGCAGAATTTCAATGTTTGATTATAAATAACATTAGGTTGGAACAAAATTTCTTAAGGTTTTGAAATAAGAAAGATATGTGCTGTTTATGGAGATGGTACCATAATTAAGAATACTGCTCATAGGAGGTTAAGAAGTGCAAAGCTTAACCGGAAAGACCAAGAATATTTCCACAGGCTGGCAATCGCTGATGACCAAATAATACAGTCCTGATAGATTTCATTTAGATTTTATACAAATTTTTATTTCAAAATTTATATAGTATACATTTTCATGGAAATCACTACATGGACATTAACTTTTTTGATTTTTATAGTTAATAATTTCTTGATTGTGTACAAGAATGCATACATCTATATTCAATGACTGTAAGTATTTTCTTCTGCATCAAAAGATAAACCTATTACCGAAATCATAGATTTGTTTCCAATTTTCATTTTTTTAAATAGGCATCATAATATGTGTTCATTATGATGACGTCATGCATGTTGTAACACGCTTACGGAATTCTTTTCTAGTCTAAATGTATCCATCAGATGTTAAATACATTCCAAATCCCAATAGGGGATTCCAGTTTCTATTTTGGGGTAGTGGTCATATATGATTCAACATGGCTGTACACACTCCCGCGTAATCCAGAATTTGCTAACAGAAAATATTGCATGATCCTGTTACACCGCAATATAGAGGGTTCCGGTTGCTTCTCCTGATTTGAACTCTAGGCCTGGTGCACCGTCTAGAAAGAGAGATTACCAAAGACTTGAATGAATACCATAATCCAAGCTTGCAGTTCTGATGACCGCTCTCCAGCCTGAAAGCAGTTTTGTTGAATAATTTTGTGTAGAATTCTTATTGAATAACTTTTTTTTTTTTTTCCATATATTGATATTTCTATTGAATACGTTTTTTAATAACTTTTTCTTGGCACATCCGGTATGTGCTTCTATGACTGATTTGTGTTTTACTGCTTATCAACATTTTGCTGGTTATTTTATTTAAAGCCAAAAATATTTCCGAGGGCTGAATTGATACTCGTCTCTCCCATTTTCAATTTGGAGCCATTATCCATTACATCACTGGTATATCCAAGCATACAGCACCTAATGTTTCCAAGCAGTCACTTATGTAGGTACTGACCAGACTCGATGTTGCTTAACTTCTGTGATCGCACGGGTGCAGTCGTTTCAACGCGATATGACCTTAAGCCATGTGCTTCTATGAATATTGATGGGTATACATATGTGTGTGTACGAGTTACAAGATAATGCTTAAGATGGAACGATAATGGTCGAGTGTCTTATCCTCATGGCCTTTGATCAGAAGTAAAACAAATTAGAGCAGCCTTCTTCTTGTAGCCTCTGATCAATGGGATGCCAAACTAAGACTGACAGAAGAAAGCAGAGTGAATGCTAATTATTTGGACAAATAAACCCAGACAGCTCAGGTGAGTGGCAGAGAAGGACTGAGCTACAATCTTCTCTCTATTCTTCTCAGTAGATTTTATGTTTAAAACGTAAGCCCTCTCTTCCCCTCTCTCTACTCATTCAATGAGTAAACGAGGTATGTTTTTATAGCTCGTGTTTACATTATTTTTCCATGGGGGTATAAAGTCTGATTTTGATCCACAAACACTTTTTATGAGCACTACCTGCAACCACGCAAGTTGTCTGCTGAAACCTCAATACTTTTCGATGCTACTGAAAGTCACAGCAGCATTCAATTTGACACGAGTCGATCTGGCTAACTCAGTATGGTAATAATGCAATTATCATATATGCATGTATGTATGAGTGTACATGAGTATATATACCTGTGCGTAGATAAATAGATCCATATATATATATATATATATATATATATATTTGCTAAAATTTATTATCTTCATACCAAGCGTATCTCGTGGTGAAGTGGTCATCGCTGGGGACTGAGTGACAGCAAATATAAAATCCCACACACCTCATATCACCTTTAAAATAGTCAGAACCACTCTGCTCTATAATATTTCCATTCATGGGAATTTTACACACTTCACAAGGTCTTCTTTTTTAGATTCTTTCTTTTCGATTTTAGTGGATGATTTTCTCATACGGTCACATTCATAAACTAGAATACTTTCTTTTTTTAATATAAATAAATCCGTTCATTAAACTTTGATTGACTATTCTTTTGAACTGTTAATGTTCCAAAATATTTTGATTTCTATATTTTGCATGACAGGTAATTTTTTGCGCTCATACTATTTATTTGTATGGTTGCTTGCATAATTCGCTGTAAATTTCGATCCCTAGTAAATCATGATTTTTTTAATTATTTCTAAGTGACTTCGCTGCATTTGTTCATTATATAATAAAATGTTTTTTGTCTTTCTAAACAAAACGATATTTTCGCTCATAATGGTTATATTTTTTGCGATTTTTCCCACATAGTTAGACCTAACGTTTTTCTTTCTGGCTGTTAATAGAAGTGATTTTGTTTCTCTTTTCATATAACCTTTTCGCAACCATAACCAGTTTATTTGTCTACAATTTCTTTTATCTTCTAAAAATATTCACGGAGATCTTTCTTCGTTCTATTTTGTAATGTCTTGTTTCTCGTATTTTCTCTTCCTTTCTTGTTTCCATTATTATTTTTTGCTGTTGTCTAGATTCTCTTAGTCTTTTTAGCAGACTTCATGCAGTTCTCTGTTGTATTCTGTTAATAATTTCTTGCTAATTTTCTACTGGCATAATTAATTTCTTTGTCGTTTTCTTTTATTCCTATGCCATCTGCTCGCTTGTCAAAATTTACCAACTGTTTCGTAATTTCCTCCCTCATCATTCAGCCATTGATTCTTTATTTACGAACACGTCTACAGATGACAGATTTGCTGTCTGTCCAATACGCACGTATAAATCGTTGTTTTATGTGTCCCAGACATATGTTGCATTCTAGTTTCGTAACATCTGCACTGATCCAAAGTATTGTTTTTACCTATTTTTTTATATATCATACTCTCATTGGAATTTTAGCAAAACTTTCTTAATATTTTAATTCTTTTGTTTTTATTTCAGTACTTTTAATTAAACTAATCCTGGGATCGATATGGTTTATACAGTAAGATTTGGTGCATCACTTGGTATCTATTAAACTTTATTGTAGTAAAAGGTTAACTGAGAATTGAAAGATCGTGCAGCGCCTTTCTTTAAAAGAAGAGAAATTATCTGCCCTGGTGTTTAGTTTTATAAATTCCTAGCTCCTTACAGGGACTCAAACATTGATTCCTGCGCTGGTATCAAATACGCAACTGTTTCTATTACGAGGTCGGCTATACATTTTGTGAATTGCTTACATCTGAGACACTTAATTAAAAGAAATCATTGATTTTTTTTTCAGAAAAATTATTTAAGGTGGATAATTTTCATTGAATAATGATTTGAACTTAATGAATATAAATGTCATTTTGTAGACGTTTACACCACAACAAAGACTAAATGTTTCTATACTTAGAATTCAAGCATGAAAAGAAACTTATCGGTTGACGTGGACATTTTAATATTTTCATGTCAAAATTAAATGTATGCAAATATTACCAGCATTTTCTGGTAAAGAAGATGCTGGTAATGCTCTTCAAAGAGCTTCAATACACAGTAGAAATATGGATTATATTCTTAATTGATCGGAAATCATGCACATGTTTTGTTTTGATGAATTAAAATGGACTACAATAAATAACCAATTCAATGGAACTCACTTGAACCCGTTGGAAATATTCCCTTATTGGCTAACGAACTGTGCGTCTCAATTCATGAGCGCGAGCTGTGTGTGAGCCTCATGGCCGGATGCCAAGGAGGATGTTTTCTGTTTGAAGAATGAGACAGCCAAGCGATAATGAGTCATATACCGAAGAACCCATTCAATCGGAGCCGGCTAAGAAGGCCAAGTTACTTCAACTGAAAATATTTTAACTGGGCTCTACCTTCAAGTATATGTTTAGATTTTATCAAAACCGATCACCTTATCGCACACATTTGGTTGTGATACATGTGATTAGTATAACGTAATCAATTTGGCTATACTGACATCCGTATATATTTATTAACAGGTGTTAATTTATTGACATGCTGCACTCTCACTTAATAATAAATGCTGGATACCTTTTGTACATGGCATACAAGAAATGTAGTCAACATTAATTACAATGATAGCAAGGACATCCTCCTTGCAGAAATTGCTCAGTTAACATCTTCGGTATTTTATTTCTAGTAGCAATATATGTCTGTGTGTTTGTGTGTGTTACAAATATCGAGATATATACAGAGAAAAAATGAAAAAAAATTGTTTTTAAGCAATAAAGCGGGATATGTTCATGGACAAGGAAAGAAGTGATGAAGAAACAGTGTGAATCGAGACATGAAATCAATGAGTGGTTGCTATTAAACGATAATTGATAAGAAATTATTTCCATTACTGTTCACAATTCTTTGTGTTTGGTGTGTTGTTTGCGGAATATTACACCTCAATCGTCCCACTAGCCCTTCTTTCTGGACTTAAAACCAAAAGAAGCTATTACTAGAAAGAGATAATCTTTGCAGGAAATACTGACGGTTTACATCTACATTCGAACAGATTTTATTATACAAGTCCATATTTACACAATAACATTGCAATTAATCAGCCAATGTTAGTAACATTTTCACGGGTTATGAGAATATTTTAATCACACCAACTTACACTCGATCGGATTTTATTATATAATTTTCTGTTCGTAATCAACTGGTGTTGGTAATGTTTTAGGGTTTACTTCTGTTTATATGATAAACCTACCATACGAATTTCAGTTTATAATATCTGTTTTTAATACAAATATTTACATTTTCCGTTTTTGGTGGGATTAAATCTTAATATGCAACTAGATTGTTTCTTCATCATACTGGAAATAAATATATGTATTCGCATATATTTTTTATATCTGTTTTTTCATTTCATATATATAGAATTGCCATGGGACTTAATTAATATATATATTCTAAAGAGAAATAATACATTGTAAAATTATTAAGCGAGAGTAAAACAAAGTTTATAATTACGAAAACGCTGAGCAGAGATTACAAAAGAATAAACAAGAAATTGGAAATATTAGCAACGAACAAACAAGTAAACTGGCATTAAGAATGTTATAAAATTTGAGTAAAATTATATAAAATAAGAAAATCAAATTGAGAACTACGAAAATATATTGTGTTGCAAATGTTTTGCAAACACAGAATACAGGATATTAAGATCAGAGTCAAAAGTCACGAAAACAACCAAACTACTCTCTTCAAATCAAATAAAAATGTGTAATATCGGTGTAGTAGTACATTAAAAAGTGATTTATCAACAATGATTTTTTCATGACTGTACAGTTCAATATTATGAACCTGAGAAATGGATTAGTGTTTGGACCCTTCTTGAAAAAAAAAGATTTCAACTAATGCGACTTGGAAGACAAAAGGGAGCAACTATGTAATATTTAAGGATGGCATACAAGTCTTCTCCACAAACTGAAAAGTTACGGAGTCTCCGGACATATTTTTGATCTGATCCAGTTTTTCTCATCAAATTGTGAATTAAAGTTATCCTGAACGGCCACTCATCTTGACTCTTTTGTACTAATGCAGGTGTACTCTGGTTCTCTATACTTAGATCTACTTTGTTTTGAATTTTCATTAATGACCTTCCCGATGGCATCAGCTCTCAACTTGGTATCTACGCTGATGACGCAACCATTTATTCCTGTCTCAATAATAAATCTGATCAGTTCGATAAAGTCAAATTGGCAGCTGATGTCCAAAACGACCATCAATCTTCTAACTATTGCAAAGGATGGCTTGTTAATTTTAAAGTCTCTAAAATTTAAACTGCTCTTTATTAATCATCTTCCTTCATTCCATCAGCATGGCTGATGCTAACCTCCAAGAGAGTAACTCGTTGCTCCTTCTCGGGCTAACATTTGGTTGATATGAAGTGGAAAGACTATATTGTATCAATTGCCAGATCATCTGCTAAGAAAGTTTTTTCACTGTGTTGTGCTAAACAATTTTTCTATTTAGAATCTTGCATATCTACTATTCGTCCATGAATATTACTGTTATATATGGTCTAGTGTTCCTGCTATTTATTTAGAGCTCCTTGATAAAATCCAAAGAAGATTCAGCAATATTATCGGTCCTTATCTGGTTA